GTGTCTCCCCCACAAAGGGGGAAAAGTTTTGGAAAACCAAAAAGGATCATAAAATCCGAAATATGCATATGGTTCTCTTCAAATTACACACATCACAATATGTCTGTTAACCCAAGGTGTGGTGTGAAAATGGGATATGTCGACCCACTCCTTCTGGTACCTGCCCCACAAAGGGTAAAAATTTTGAATATCCATGAAGTTCATAAAACGCGAAAATAACATCGGATTCCACTCAGACTTGGTACATCTCAATATTTCCATCAACACAAGATCTGCTATAAAGATGTTAAAGATCGGACGATTCTTTCTGGTACCTCCCCCACAAAGGGTCGAAGTTTTGAATAACAAAAACGATCATAAAATCCGAAATAAGCATCCGCTTCTTCATATTTCACACAACCCATTATTTCTATTAATACAAGATCTGCTGTGAAGATGGGATATATCGGTCTACTCCTTCTGGTACCTCTCCCACAAAGGGTCAAAATTTTGAATATCCATGATGCTCATAAAACGCGAAATTAACATCCAATTCCATTCCAGACTTGGTACATCTCAATATTTCTATCAATACAAGATCTGCATTAAATATGGTAAAGATCGGACCATTTCTTCTGGTACCTCTCCCAAAAATGTTCAAGATTTTGAATAACCATGAAGTTCATAAAAAGCGAAAATAACATCCAATTCCATTCCAGACTTGGTACATCTCAATATTTTTATCAGCCCAAGATCCGCTATAAAGACGGTAGAGATCGGATAATTTCTTCTGGTATCTCCTTCACAAAGGGTCAAAATTTTCAATATCCATGAAGCTTAAAAAAACACGAAAATAACATTGGATTCCACTCAGACTTGGTACATCTCAATATTTCCATCTACACAAGATCTGTTAAAAATATGGTAAAGATCGGACCATTTCTTTTGCTACCTGCCCCACATAGGCTTCAAGATTTTGAAAAACAAAACGTTTAAAAAAAGTTAAATAAGCTCGAACTCTTTTCAAATTTCAAACATCCAAATATTTTTCCAACACAAGATCTGTGTATGAAGACAAAATATATCGGCGAAGCCCTTCTGGTACCTCAGCCACAAAGAGTCACAATTTTTAATACTTCTATCATAACTTGCGAAAAAGCGATTCTGTACATAAATCTGGATGAATTTGGAATTTATGATTTCGCATAAAATTGGAAATTTATGTTCGATTTTCTTGTATTGTTCGGAAGAGAATTTCCCTGGCAAGTAGAAATTAGGTCGTTCTGGATCGAAGATCGCCTGCCATGTAAAGAGTTTAGCGATATTTAGTTCAGATATTTATATTATTTATTCAGTGGATCAATGCCGATTGTAGGGTATCCCAGATTCGAAGTTTGTAAATGGTTGCACTTAATTCCTTTTATCCACTTCTCCATTAAGTGCGCTCAACTTGACTTATTTATTTGAGTTTATTTTTTTTTGTGCTTGACACTCAAGTACCCCTGGCGGCAGAGAAGAGGAAAACTTTTATTTTTCTCTCTCGAAAACTTAATGCCGAAAACGCAAAAGTTTTACACCAATTTGTCATTAGTTTACTATTCTCACCATTTGCGCCGCCATTCCATTGTCTGCCTTTCACAAGTGTCAGAGCTTATGGTATTTTGCACATTTTCCAAAACTTTGTTAGTTCGGCAAAAAAATTCGTGTTTTTGCTGTTGTTGTTACAAAACTTTTACATGTGTTGTCGCCTGAATTAACCTTTTTGCAGGTAAACATTTCTTGTTTTGCCTTTTCTAATGAACATGCAAATCAGCCATTTCCCTGCCACTACCTGCGACCGGGACCACATTCCCTACCCGAATAACAACATAGCTGTAAACATGAAACTAATAGTTTTAGCCCCACATTTCGACAAATTCTATGCTATGCCGGTTCTACACACCAGGCTCTAGTTGTTTGTCTGATATGAGGAGGAGGAGGACAGGAGAATTACAACAATTTTATTTGGTATTTCCAATTCAAACCACGACCCTTATTCTCGTTCTTTTTTCCACTTCTCCTCCACATGTCCTAGTATTCTCGTCTCGTTTAAAAAGGTTGCAATGAAATTCCCGCTTGATGTACACAAACCCCTCGGGAGTATCTATTTTCGTTTTTCGTGGAAACTATGGAGTTGGGCTACCCTTTCTACGCACCCGTTCCGTTCTACTCTGTGTTTGTTAGTTGCCCAACCATGCATCCCTTAGTAATGGTTTTGGGTCGCAATTAAAGACAAATAAGTTTCGAATTACCTCTGATTTGGTGAAAGTAGACCTAAAAAAGTAAGTTACGCACAGTGTTCGAATTTGGAACAAATAGTGGTGGAATTTTATAATCCCGGAGAAATCGGCAAGCTTGTGTGAGAAAATGTGTGAACGCTTTAAATTAGAGTTTTGATGTTTTTAACCTCCACCATAGTATGGAGGAAAATGGGCCATGTAGGTCCAGGTTTTGGTATAGCCCCCATATTATGTGTACCCCGATATTTTCGGAATTTTGCTAATTCAAGCGACATTAATCACCTGAATTGTCTTAAATTTGGAATTTGTTCGTAATGGATAATACAGCCTGTGACAGAAAATTGTCAGTGCAGGCCCACGTCTTCGTATAGTCTCCATATAACGGTACCTCCCTATTTTCGGTATTTTGATTATTTGAGCTACACTATTCACTGGGATTGTTTCAAATTTGATATTTGAACTTCGTAATGGATACTACAGCCTATGACAGAAAATTGTCTGTGCAGGTCCACGTCTTCGCATAGCCCCATATAACGGTACCTCCAGATATTCTGTATTTTGACGATTTTAGCGACTTTATTCACCGGAATTGTTTCAAATTTCGTATTTGAAGTGCCTAATAGATACCACAGCCTATGACAGAAAATCGTCTGTGCAGGTCCACGTCTTCGTATAGCCCCCATATAACGGTACCTCCCAATATTCGGTATTTTGATGATTTTAGCGACATTATTCAGCGGAATTGTTTCAAATTTGGCATTTGAGGTTCGTATTGGATATTACAGCCTATAAGAGAAAATTGTCTGTGCAGGTCTACGTCTTCGTATAACCCCCCATCTGAAGGTACCTCCCTATTTCCGGTATTTTGGTGATTTTAGCGACATTTTTCACCGGAATTGTTTCAAATTTGGTATTTGAAGTGCGTAATGGATACCACAGCCTATGACAGGAAATTGTCTGTTCAGGTCTACGTCTTCGTATAGCCCCCATAGAACGGCACCTCCCTATTTCCGGTATTTTGATGATTTTAGCGTCATTTTTCACCGGAATTGTTTCAAACTTCGTATTTGAAGTCCCTCATAGGTAGTACAGCCTGTGACAGAAAATTGTCAGTGCAGGCCCACGTCCTCGTATAGTCTCCATATAACGGTACCTCCCTATTTTCGGTATTTTGATGATTTGAGCTACACTATTCACTGGAATTGTTTCAAATTTGATATTTGAAGTTCGTAATGGATACTACAGTCAGTGACAGAAAATTGTCTGTTTAGGTCCACGTCTTCGTATAGCCCCCATATAATTGTACCTCCGATATACGGTATTTTAATGATTTTGGCGACATTATTCACCGGAATTGTTTTAAATTTGGTATTTGAAACTCGTAATGGATACTACAGCCTATGACTGAAAACTGTCTGTGCAGGTCCACGTCTTCGTATAGCCCCAATATTCGGTATTTGGATGATTTTATCTACATTATTCACCAGAATTGTTTCAAATTTCGTATTTGAAGTTCCTAAAAGATGGTACAGCCCATGACAGAAAATTGTCTGCAGGTCCACGTCTACGTATAGCCCCCATATAACGGTACCTCCCGATATTCGCTATTTTGCTGACTTTAGCGACATTATTCAGCGGAATTGTTTCAAATTTGGTATTTGAGGTTCGTAATGGATATTACAGAATATAAGAGAAAATTGTCTGTGCAGGTCCACGTCTTCGTATAACTCCCCATCTGAAGGTACCTCCCAATATTCGGTATTTTGATGATTTTAGCGACAGCTACATCCTATGACAGAAAATTGTCTGTGCAGGTCCATTTTTTGGTATATAACGGCACCTCCCGATATTCGGTATTTTGGATACAAGGTTGTTGTTTTGAAGTATGATTTATGTTAGAAACGACAAAATATGAAAGACATTTGCATATGAATCCCCAAATTTAGATTCGGTGTTTTAATTTCCTTTTAAGATTAATCTCCACGATGTGCTTGATATCTGAGACATTTTTTTTAAATTCTTAAATATTCTCCATAGGAAAAACCCTATTGCGACAATGGAAATATTTCACTCTTCTAGTTACAAATTTTAAAAACTCCGAGAAAACATATTTTTTTTTTAGAAAATTTTCGCTGACATTTTTTTAGCAACATTTTCCACTCTCATTGTTGTTGGACAATGTCAACACTACTAAACTTTTTAGCATGTTTCCCTAATTGGAGGTGGTTTTGGCAATTTTGCTTCGTCTCACGGTTGGCTGCAAGAACTATTAGCGAAATTCCTAATTCCACCTTTTTTTTGGAATGGGGGCGTTGAAAAATCACAGAGAACAGGAGGGGAGACAACATTGCAAAAAAAAAACCTAATATTCAATTTACTGTTGCAATTAATGTTGTTGTTGTTGTTGCTGGCAAAAGCAAAATGCATTTTGCATGCCTGAAATAGTCTTAGGTCACACAGAAATGTTAATGCTGCTCGTGGTTAAATTTCAGAGGTTCTGCTTTGCATGGCTGGCCTCTAAGCCACGGCACGCAGAGTAAATTAGCTTACTCGGAAATTGAATTTGTTTGGCAATTTGATTATCCTGGTGTTTTGATGAGTGCGTTAGCAGTTTTTGAAATGGACTCAATTAGTTTGAAGGAGGACCCCATAACACAAGCATGTTTGACTAATTAAAATTAAATCACAATCAAGTCTTTATTTAGTTACTTAACAATTGTATTAATTTCGTTTTCTTTGCAGGGCGGAGAAGTTATACAAGAAAGCATTACATCGAATGTTAGCGAAGACCTGATAACATTGGAATTCCAGAAGAGTGATGGAACGCTGATAACGCAAGTTATTGATTTTCGAAATGTAAGTATGACGGGATAATTCTTATTCTGATAAATAAAAGACCCTAAGAGATGTCAGTCTAAAAGGTTATCTTTGAAAGTAATTGGTAGATTTTCCAAGGAGACTGTCAGCCTAGTCTCAGAGAATGTCTAAAAGATTTTCTCTGAAGGACACTTAGTGCTAATTCTAAAGGTTCGTACCAGGAATTCTGTGAGAAGTTCTTTTAGGGTTCCCAGAGATCTTCTATTTCAATTACTTCGATATTTTATATACAGTAGCTCCAAGCGAAACTCGTACACTTAGGCAACAATTTTCTGAGATAAAAAAATTGCAACAAAGTCAAACGCCATAATTTTCAAATTTTATTGAATGAAAGCAAAAAATATCAGAAATAACATCAACTTTTAGAACAATTTTAGATTTGATCGAATCGGTCACCTTTGGCACGAATCATGGTCTTCAAACGGCCAATGAAACCGTCACACGCTGCACGAATGTTGCTATGCGGTATTTTGGCCCATTCCCGGCGAAGCGTTTGCTTGAGGTGATCGACACTTTGGTATTTTTAGTGCCAACCTTGCATTTCCAAATACTCCAGACGTAATAGCCCAACGGATTAATATCCGGAGGTTTTTGTGGCCATTGTGCGCTGGAAATGAAGCCAGGAACCTAATTTTGTAACCATTCTTGGGTGGTGCGTGCTGAGTCCTCTTAAAATGTGCAAGGCCTGCGGCCAAAATGTTTGCGTGCCCAAGGCTTAAATACACCCTCCAGAATATTTTCGCGATAATATTCGGCATTCAGATGCCACGGTCGATTAATACAAGCGGAGAACGACTATTGGCTGTTATGGCAGCCCACACCATCACCATTGCGCTTGAGTTCTGGTGGTCAACCGAAGGTGCACATTTTCAGCTGACCTCTTTGGCTAATATACACGATCATTTTGTTTGTTAAGAAACTGCCGGACAACGAATGTTTTCTCGTCGGATAAAATCAAATTCGGCAGTTCACCACTTTCGGCCAAGTGAAGCAACTCTTTAGCTCGTTTGAGTCTATTTTCTTTAAAAGGTATCTGCAGGAAAAATATCCTCGGACATTTCCTTTGAAGATTCCGTTTAAAATATTTTCTATAGAAAGTGTCAAAATAAAATTATTTTTAGTTTTATAATGGCTTCTCCTGAAGGTCTTTTTAAGGAAATCCTCTTTAGGATCTTAGGATCATAAGATAAAAAAATAATAAAAAATGTTTTTACAATAGTACAATTATTGATGTCATATTTTGTTATTTTTCTCCCTTTCTCTCCGCAGGAGGTACGCATCCTCAAAGCCTTGGTTCTGGGCGAGGAAGAACGTGGCCAAAATCTCTATCAGGTCATGTGCTTTGTGACGAAATTCAATAAGGGTGATTTCATATCATCCGATGCAATGGCCAAACTACGTCAAAAGAATCCCAGTACAATACGAACACCCGAAGAGGACAAGGGCAAAGATACATTTACGATGACATCGTGGGTGCATTTAAATCGTTCCCAGCCCATTTCGCGTCATTTGTTGACAATGTGTGGCGAAGCAATTGATGCCACCTATGTACGGGACGTTGACCTGAAAGCATGGTCTGAATTACCAGGTAAGGAATTATGTTTTTTAGCAAAACCAGAAGGTATATGCTTTATGTCAAATATAGTTATTAATGAAACCATTAAAAGGCTTTCTATATTTTTTGAAAGAAAATTATATTCTCCAATTAAAAAGTTTTGAATTATATTTTTAAAGTATCATTTTTGGAATCATAAAGTTTGAAAGTCATTTGCATATGAATCTGACTAAATTAAGGTTATAAAAGAATAGGTCTATGAAATAATATGGCTTCAAAGACATTTACAGGCATCACTGAACCATTCAGAGTCTACAAATCTACGTCAACTATTTACATTAAATCTTACAAAAACGATGTTACAAATGAGGTACAGAGGGCCCCATAATTAAATATTTTATTTCAAAGTATCATGTTGGAAGCAATAAAGATTGAAAGACATTTGCAAATAAATCCCATCATATCGCACATTTGAAATATTTTCCCAATATATATAGTAGCTCCAAGCGAAACTCGTACAGCTAAAGAAAAATTTTTATTTTTCTTATAACTCTCGAAAATCAAAATTTACAAAAAAAATGTTTTTCTTACATTTTATTAGTACACTATGTGAGTAATTTAAAAAGCAAAAAAAAAAACTCAACATTTTAATTCATTTAAAGTAAAAAAAAAATAAATAAATAAATATTAAAAAATATGATATTTCAATCCCAAAGCCAAACTTGTACACAGTTTTTCTAGATATTAATATTTTGTATGCATTCCTTTTCTTTTTTACCATTTGTAGCCTATTTGGCATACTTTTAACAAGTTTTTCGCAAAAGCTAGGTTACATTTTTGCCATTCTTCAAACAAAACCTTCCTCAAATGTTCTTTGCAAGATATGCTATGCTGGTGGATTTTTCCATCGAGATAGCTCTATAAATTCTCTATGGAGTTTATGTCTGGACTCTGGGCTGGGCTATCCATGACTTGGGGACAATTATATAGCAGCCGCACTTTATAAAAGTTGTTTCTGGATCATTGTCTTGATAGAAATAATAATCTTCGCCAAGCCTTACAGATTGGCAAACTTTATTTCAAAATGTTGACGAACATAGTCTGATCCATAACATCCTCAATAAAATGCAATGCACCAGGTCCAGAGGCTTAAGCCTATTTGGCATACCTTTAACAAGTTTTTCGCAATAGCTAGGTTCAATTTTTTGCCATTCTTCCAACAAAGCTTTCTTCAAATCTTCTTTGCAAGATATGCTATGCTGTCGGATTTTTCCATCGAGACAGCTCCATGAATTCTCTATGAGGTTTATTTCTGAACTCTGGGCTGGGCTATCCATGACGTGGGGACAATTATATAGCAGCCATGACCGCACTTTATAAACCTGGTGTTCGGATCATTGTCTTGATAAAAATAATAATATTCGCCAAGGCCGAGCGTTTCCTTACAGAGTGGCAAACTTTATTTCAAAATGTCTGATCCATAATACGCTCAATAAAATGCAATACACCAGGTCCAGAGGTTGAAAATGACGCCATTACGGACCCACCACCGTGCTTCACTGTAGGCTTCATATTTTTTGGCAAGTAGCGCTTCATTTGCCTTTCTCCATAGATAAGGTCTGACATCTGAACCAAAAAGTTATATTTGCTCTCGTCCGTGAACAGCACATTCTTCCAAAATGCAAAATCTTTTGATGTGTGCTCCTTGGTAATTCACAATTTTACTTTTTGATTTCGCATGCCGATTAGAGGTTTGTGTCTAGCTCTTCTTCTATTGTATATTTCTTATTTTTGAGGGCAACATACTTTTCCCAAGTCCTTTTCAGCAATTTTTGCGAGCTTCGGTGCACTCAAAATCGTTATTTTTGATCTGCCGGGAAATATACTCATATATTCTCACCACTCAAGGTAAATATTTTATTATTTGCCGATTTCGACTTATTTTCTACACATGCATCTGTTTAGAAGCGTTTTATGATGTACTGAACTGTAGATCGGCTTCTATTAGCAATCTCAGATATCTCACTTAGCGATTTATGGTTTATGGTGTTTACAAAATTTCTCACTTCAACAGTGGTTTGTCCTCGTTGTCTTCTCATTTTTTTTTTAATATTTACTTCAGTAAATTACACAACGCGATTAATTAAATTTTAGGGACTTCCCCAAATACATTTTCCAACAATCGCGTGAAGTTGGACGCAGTTCGAAACAGGGTTGCCGTATAAATGTAAGCTGTTCTAGTTTAGCTTTTGCATTGAAATTTGGTGAGTTTTAGAATAAATGACATTATTTTGTTAAAGAAAATAGAGTAAAGTTTTGTTCTACGGCTAGTTCTAGTAACGTTAATAAACAATATAGGTTTCTTCTCGTAGGGAATTTGATAACAATTATATATTGCATGAAAGACAATTTTATACTAAGTGTACGAGTTTCGCTTTCTCAGACATAATTTTCTTAGTTTAGTTTTGTACCAGGAAATTTTAGAATTGATTTTTCTCTACTAAATTTTTCTTTTGATTTCGTTTCTAACAAAATTTTCCTATTCTCTCTTCCTTGGTTTTCAGGTTCCTCAATATCTAGCCTTGAGGCTGCCACCGAGAGATTTCCCGATACTATGTCATCACGCTGCAACGAAGTAAGTAGCTTATGGGCACCATGTATCTGTACCCTAGAGACTTGTATTGGTTGGTATCCTTGCGGTTTGAAATATTGTAAAGGTAAAAATGGCGGTGATAATTCGGCAGCATCATCAAATTATCGCTGTGGCATTAAGACGTGTCGTAAATGTTCACTTTTCTCGTATTATGTGAGGCAAAAACAACAATGTCTCTGGGATGAATGACGAGAACTGCAACAATCGCTGTTGCCACCACAAACGACGAATACTCAATTACAATTGAATTTATGGCAAAGGAGAAATGTGGTATATGATGAAAGTGACGGAGGTGTAGATGGGGTGTTATGCTGCTCAAATTTGTACAAAATATTCAAGACAATAAGGAAACAACAATTACCAATGACATTTCTTCAGCATTATCGAATTTTCCCTTTACATCATAACGAGGATAATGTTCATCATCATCATCGAAAACATTTTCATAGTCAACAAAAACCTATAGAAATTGTTGAATTATTAGAATCTTCATACCACCACCATATGACTATAACGAGTATCATAACAATGCTGATGATGATGATAACGTCCTTAACAACTTCATTATAGCCCAGAAACCTATGTTTAAAAGGACGATAGTAAATGCCTGTTTGTTTTTATATTATATGACATCGTCGTCATCATCATCACCACCATCCTTTTCTGTGTTTAACAACGATAAACTTGGTTTTTGGGTCCGGCTATTAAGTTACAATATTCCATTTTGATGGGGTTAGTAGTAACATAATGGAAAATGGAAGTGCTTTTAGTAACATCAGACATATGTAAATATTTATGTATATAAGTTTCCTTTTCTTTACCCAAAAAGAGTTCAGTTGAGTATATATATATATTTTTTTTTAATTTGTAAGAGACATACAAAATATTTGAAAAAATAAATTGTGAAAAAAATCGTAAATTGGTAAAGATTTTGCTCCTAAAATTCTTCAACTCTTTAAAACATTTTGTTTGCATCTTAAAAACTTTTTTAAACTGCCACATTTGGTTATGCATTGCAGGCGTACAAAATTATCTTCCTTAGAAGCTTTCAAAATGTATTTTTTTCCTACAAATCTTATGATTTTTGGGAAATTTTCTTTGCATCTAAAGTCGTGCTTTGTACTGTCATATTTTGATAATTATTGGAAGTGTATAAAGTTATGCCTCCTAGAAACTTTTTTGGAATTTTTCTTTGCATCTAAAATCTTTTTAACGCCACACCATACATTGGAGCCCTATAAAATAATCCTTCTAAAAGCATTCAAAAATATATTTCTAAAAATCTTCTAGTTTATCTTTGTCTTAAAGTAAAATTGTCAATTTCCTTGAATAATAAAATCTTTTTAAATTTGCCCCATTTGGATAATTCATAAAGGCGTATAAAATTATCCTTCGCAGAAGCAAGCTACAAAACGAAACTTCGCAAATAGCTTTTTCCAATTCCTCTTTTCATCTTCAAGCAATGATAGTCCTTTATTAAAATATCTCTATGGAAATTGTTTAAATTAATGTAGGATCGGTCTTCTGGCTTGTTTTCCAAAAAAAGGAAGGGCTCAATTATAATTTTTAATGTTTTATTTAATTTGTTAAATATTATGATTGTATTTCAATGTAGTTTATTTAAATTAAATGACAATGATACGATTTAATGACTCCAAAATTTCTTGGAATTTAAGTCAATTGGGCAATGATAAAAGCACAAGCAATTTAGGTTTATCAATTTGCAAATTTAGCCGTCAATCTCTTGTAGACCCTCTACACCAATTTTTTTATATTTTTTATTTTTATAATCTCCTTGTCCTAATATACCTACCATATAAATATTTTTTTATAAATTTTATTTCCTCTCCTTTAAAATTGTAGAGAGAGATAGAGACCAAAAATCTCTATTTTTTAATATTATTTAAAGTCTTACACATCCTTGACTAAAGAATCTACAAATGTTTTTGTTTTAAAGTATCATTTATGTTAGAAATGACAAAGTCTGAAAGACATTTGCATATGGATCCCACTATGCCACAAGTGTCAATGGGAAGGGATGTTCCCTATACTTCTCTAAACATTGAGCTTTTAATCTCTATAATTGTAGTAGAGACTCTCCTATCCTAACCCCTTAATTCCCTACTTTTAGATTTTGTATATACTATGTCTTATAATTATCAGTTGATAACACATCTGTTACTAAAGAATCGCTCAAAATTTTGATTTATACGTAAATAGAACCTAACTATATAAACGGGAATTACATAGTTTTATTTAATGTCTATGCTGTAATATCATTTGTACTATTCAATTATCTGTCGTCATAGATCTGTAAAAACGATAGAAACAAGGTTGGTTATAATAATAACCGCTATTTTTTATATCTACAAATTCAATTTCATCCGTTTACTTATTCCCTTGGCCACGTTCTATTGTGGCAAGGAAAACCATAATGAGAGTCTTTGGACTTACATTGTTTAATACGGAAATCTTTTCGAGAAAAATATATGCCCTCTTCAAGGAGAGTGCAAAAATTAAAAGCTTTATAGCAGACATCAAGATAACTCTATTTAATTATAAAAATATTACTCAATATCTTAGCTTTAGCTAAACCTAAAATAGAAGCAGGAAGTAAATTACACTGGTTGGACACATTTTTTTCTGTTTATATTTTTGTGCAATTTTCATCTGGGGTTCAGAGACAGCTGCGAAGCGCTGTACAAACTTAAATACACTAAAAGGAGTTCTCCGTAAAAAAAGCGGGAACAAACTAAATGTTTGTACATCAGTAGCTAAAGAATATTAACCCAGAAACCACAATAATACTGTTATCTATAATATTTTTAATAAAAAATTAATTTTTGCATACATATACTAAACTGCTTTTTTCTGTCGGAAATGGCAGAAGACAATAAAATAGTGTTCCTAAAACTACACAATTTTATGTTTCTACATCATTCGCTAAAGAATAATAGCCCAGAAACCAAACACTTGCGTTTCAAAATGTTCTTTCCAGTATGAACTGTAATTTTGTATATCCAAAACATTTTTACTGAATAGTTAATTAACCTTATTCCGGTTGTTATCGTAATATCGGGTGCATCATATGAGGTTTTTTTCCTATGAAAAAAATGTATAATATATTTTTAAGAAACTTCAGGAAAATAAAACGGAAAAACGTTGGATTTTGAAACTGAAATATTGTGCCCATTTTTTCATAATACTGAAAACTCACAATCGAAAGATCTACTTGGCTCGTAGATAGTCGCTTGTATAATATATTTGTTTGTCTCGACTATATGTCTGTGGCTAAAGAATCCTTGAAAAATTTCATTCATTCGTGCTCAAATACTCTAAATCATGAGAAAAAAATTTACGAAAATCCATAAAATTCAGTTGTATAACTGCTATAACGACTCTTAACAAATGATGATTGCGCGCATTCATTGAATGCTTAATTTAAAGAGGGGAATATTGATTGCTATTATTCCCACTTTGAGACACTTTAGAAATTCGTTGAAAATTATAAAAATTTTATTGAAAAAAAAAAAAAAATCCTCTGTCGCTTAATAATCCCTCTATTTTTGATAATCCTCAAGTTTTAGGATTGACATAGGCCATAAATGATATTAACTATATTTCAAATCTAACTTTTATAAGTATTTCTTTTAAACCAGTTTCAGGGTTACCTTTGGCAATTTTTTTTTTACAAAATTATTACAAATAAATATCTTATTGTCGGATAAAATGTTACACTCTCATTTGAAAGTTTTAGGGAAAAACGTTTCAAATAAAAAATTATTGTACCGATTTCGAATTGTGATAGAATATGATCCAGTCTAACTTTTAATTAGGAATTTTAATCCGCTTCGAAATTAACAAATAATTATAAAAATATTGCTTCCAAATCATAGATCGCTGGATTTTTTAAAAGACTTATAAAATTCCAAGTATTTCCTTTCAATTAATTAATTAATTTCTATTACTTCCATGACTACAGAATCACTGTATATTTTTTGATTTAAAAATTAGTAAAATTAATCGGGATATCCGAACAATTATTATAACAATAAAATATCTCGCATTAAGCATAACTATAGTCCGAAATTTGTAAAATTGCACTTACACCTTTAGGTGAAACCTCAACGTTGCCACAATTTAGGTAACAGACTTTTTAGTTGTCTTTGACTGAATTATGTTTAACATTTCCAAAATAATTATTATAACTTAATATTTAATTGAAGTGACGACATACATTAATTTAATGTCAGTTGTGCATCAAGTGAATTATGTTTAACATTTCGTAAATTATTTACAAGACCTCAAAATCTAATTAGAATAGACGGTGATAAGACTTGCAAGTTTTCAAAGCAATTAACCAAAAATTGTTCTTAATTCAAATATCGTCATAAACTATTTGAATTTAATATGTACACTAAACGGTATATGTATTATTATAACTAAACCTAACGTGTATTTTTACTCAAATCCCTTACTTACAATTCCTTACCCTATACTCTTCGTTCGAGAAGAGTGGGTTTTTTTTTTTTTTTGAAAATAAATCACAAAATATTATTATAACTGCATTTAATTGAAAGTATAAAGTACTACCAGTCTCTGTATAATCGAATTTTACCCTAGCGTATTATACCTGTAACTTCGTCGTATCATAGCAAATATTCTGTACTATAAAGTTAATGTTTTACATGGAAATTTCGTTAAGAAAATCCATTGTCTATATTAAAAAAAAAATCTAGAAATCAAAGTACTACCAGTCTCTATATAATCGAATATTACTCCATTGTATTTTAAACGTGACTTAGTCGTATGATAGGAAATATTCTGCACCATGTAGTTAATGTTTTACATGGAACGAAAAACCTTTTTATATCTAGAGAAAAACTCCAGAATTGAAAGTACTGCCAGAATCTATATTATCGAATTTTACTCCAACGTATTTAGCTTGAAGCTTTGTCGTATCATAGCAAATATTCTGTACCATATAAGTTAATGTTTTACATTAAAATTTCGAAGCTAATTGACGAAGAATTGATCGACAAAATCTTCATTCAATAATTTCTATATTGAGATGAATTTTTCATTCGATGACAGATGAGTTTTCTTCCATAAAACCGAAGTGTGTTTACCCTGTTAGCAGCCATGGTTTTTACAATGACCATGCTGTGCTGGTGTTTGAGTATTGCAAGAGCAGGCAGATTTTTTAAATTAATATTATTTATTTTCACTGCTTTTTCTGTACAAATATTCACAGCTCACATTGCTTAATGAAAAAAAGTTTTTTTTTTTTTTAAACATTAATTTGCAAAATTTCAAAATCAAAAAATATCTCATTCGATATCGAAGAAATTTCGATCGAAATGAATTCGAATATAAACATTTTCGATTGATTTAATTGAAAATTTCCATTTGTTTTCAACAACACCAGTTGCTTCTAGCAACATTTTTCTTTTTTTCCAATCTAAAATTAACATACAGATTTTATCGATCGAATTGAATTCATTGAACTCAAATCTATATTTTATATTGTTTTAATTGAACATTTCGGTTGAAACCATCAACCATCGAATGTGAGAGTTGTTTTCTTATTTCATTTCGATCAAAATTTTAGCGATACCGAATGCGAAAATTTGTACCCAGGCAATTTGTTTACAGCGATTAAACAAATTGTCTTTCCTACTTTCATTAAAAAGAAGACTGTTGACATGAAAAGGAAAGTCGGCTAAGGGTTTTCAATTTTTTTGACAAAAAATTCTACCTTGATTGCGTTAAGTCCATTTTGCTGTTCCATTTCAACGGATTAAAAGTGGGTTTCGACTTTTAAATACTTTAAGTTGATTGGTCGAAATTTGA